AATTTAATCTTACAATTGAAAAATGTAGAATGTCTATACATAATTTTTTGTTATGTTTACAAAAATATACATTGTAGAAAAAAATGTTTGTACAATTAAAGAAATGTATATTACATTAAAAATGTTCGCAAGTTAAAAAAGGTTTTCAGGAGAGTTTCAAAGAAAACATTGTGCAATGTAAAACAAATATGCATAAGCCAGAATAAAATGTTTTTATCATTAAAAAACGTTCGAATTTGTTTGTAAATAATATTTAACCTGTATTTGAAAAATATTAAAAGTTTTTTAATGTAAACCTTGTATTTTAAAAATGTGAAAATTTATAAAAATATCTATACTGATAATTCTTTTTACAATATGTATGAGAAAATTAGACACCAAACTATATATTAAAAAATATTAATAATATATTTGACATATGTTAATCATGTGTACAAAAATGTTCTTAATGTATACGGGGAAAATGTAAAATACATATGAAAAAGGAAAACCAACAAGACAACCAATAATAACTGACAAAGAAACAAAAGAAAATGAAGAAGAATAAGAAAGAAGCAAAAAAAAGTAGCACACAAAAAGAAAGAAAGGAAAACCATGAAAATCAATGAGAAAACAAAGAAAACCAAAGCAAATAGAAGAAAAAAGGAAAACCAAAAATACCGCTGGAAAAACAAATAAAACGAAACAAAAAACAAAGGAAATGTACAAAAACTATAGTAAGCCGGATCTATTCCGATCGCTTATGACTTATGTGTATAATTTTTTTACTAAATATTTATGAATTTAGATGTGTATAATTTCACTCATGACTTATGTTCAGAAAATATATATAATTTAACTATTACCACGACTAAATATGCATATCAATATTTTAGTTTTTAAATTATGAATATTTTAGTTATACAAACATTTTCTTTAAAAATATACTTATGAGTTATAATGAAAGTGCATATAATTATTAAAAAGTTTCTAATTAAAATAATAACTATGAATTTTAATTTTTGATTTTAAATTATACAAAGAATTTTTTATAGGTGATCATATTATTTAAAATATATGAATATTTTTAATATATGAATCATCGTTTGTATGATAAGTAAATGCTCTATTCAACATATTGTGTAAGTTAAATATGAGCCTTGAGTGGATAATACTTTTCAGATTCGTTAAACATTTTAAATCATTTTATTGACTAGACAGTTTTAGATCTAATATATGTGAGTATATTAAAAAATTATTTACTAATTAATCAATGTTTGTATCTATATAACATTTATAACACACGAATATTTGAACATTATTTTTATTACTTACATATGTTTTAGAAATATCTTATAACAAAACTAAGGTGTGCAAAATATCTTAGCCCAGCGAGCGTCTTCGTTATATTACTTTAAGTTGCCTATCCATTCTGGACATCACATTAGCTCTGGGTGCTTTCAACTCGTTGATCACCGGTTCGAATCCAGGGTGCCCTTTTTTCGTGTGAGTTTCCTCGCTGTACTGACAGGCGGGACCCTTGCTGGGGAGCTTTTCCATGAACAATAAATCTAGGGAGGTATTTGCAAAATAACGGGCCACACCAACACGCCTTGTCGGCATTCTTTTCGTATGCAAACGGATTTCGGACAGTATAAGCACAATGCACTAAAGTGACTTTTATAGCCAAGTTTAAGCATCGATGGTGTAACTGACTCTTTGGCATATTACACGTACTTTCTTAGAATTACCGAAAATGACACGTTTCAGGATCTTCCCCAGCTATTGGACCAGGCTTCAAGTGGAAAACTCAGACAAATCAGTCCAGGGTATCGGGCTTTCAGGCCCAAACAGGACTGACCTGGGCTGAATACTAGTAAAGAATAAGTCTATGTATTGGTAGATTCGCTGGTATATTCGCTGTTGCTGGTAGTGTTACGAGAGAATTTCTTATTTAATATTGTCTTAAATTTTTATTCCCTATTTGACACTGAAAAAAAGTTTCTTCTCCATATAACACTCAGTTAAAATTTTATGCCTTATATGACACTTTCGTTCATTTTAAGTCTTAACGGTGTTAAATAATATTGGAAAAGACCTTTTTACCCCTCATAGGAAGTGTGACCAAAATTTTAAGCTAATTATTGAAAAAAAAAAGTCATGTCCAGCTTGCCGGGCGCTGCAGTCGCGTCACCGGCTACGTAGTTAACTAGCTTTATCATGTATGCTGTGTGTATCCGGCTTGGTTTGCTAGGTGCATGAGCCAACTTCCTAGGAAAATAGATCAAGTACTTCTACTAGCTCTTGTCATGTGTACGTGCGTGTACAAGCGCTCTGTCCGGGGAGGAATCGATCCGGACAACGAAGCGCTGCTCGTTGGCGCGATGGCCGCCTTGCCGTGCCACTGCGCCGCTGCCGCCTTGTTGGCCGCCGTATAGAGCAACCAACCGCTGTAGCCGGCCCAGATGAGTCGGTTTCTCCGACCGCGTAACACAACGCCGGCGACCCAGCAGCTGCGTGCCTCTGCACAACTTTTTTTTTTGAGGGGTTGCCTCTGCACAACTTGCCCCACGTGCCACAGCACCGCCGGCCACCTCGCACGCCGCCGGACCCCGAGCATCTACCGAGTCAGCCATCCACACGCGCGCTGCAAGTTTGCTCCCAGTTACGCTGATCGTTGCACACAAACTCATTTTGCATCAGGGGCAAAAGTGACTTTTTACGTGCAACTTAACTGCGTTAGTTGTGAAAATGAACGGAAGTGCCACGAAGGGCATTTAGACTCGCTGTTAGATAGGGAAGAAAAAATTGTTCAGTGTAAATAGGAAAACAAAATTTAAAAAAGTGTTAAATAAGGAATTCTTTCTAGTGTTATCATCTCATCTGCTAGTGCTATTTGTATGCATCATACAGAAACTTCGAACCAAATGAACGAAGATCTTTTGAGATCATTATGCACTTTAAAAATCAAACATCAGGTACATCGTTGATGCCATTTTAATTGTACGCCTGTCCTTACTACAAAACAATATACATCATACTTTGTTGGTGGGTTGCTACCTTTGGACAACTTCCACTTGCGCTCTAATCTGCTTAGCAATAACCAGTGCCTAAAATTAATAGTTGTGCTATATCTTCCTTTAGCAGTTGTGGCATTTTCCCAAGCAAGAAAAGTTGTGCTGTTTCCATCGAACTATGTCCTTTTTCAGGATGCTGAACCAGCTGTCAAAGGCGTATGCGTGAACTTGTCCCTCCTACTGACAGAGGACCTACTGGAGGAACCCGATGTGGTCGACCTCGGCACCGTGTAGTCGAGGAGTCGTCGCAGGCCAAAGACATCAGGCGCCCGAGAACTCTCGGAGACCTTCTGAAGCCTATGCAGAGAAGATGATGAGGCAAACAATGCATATATAGGTATCTTGTAACCTGTATGATAGTCTCCAGGATTGCCATAAGCAAGATAGGCAGCCAGGAGAAAATACAAATACTTGATTGCGGCGATAGAGGGGAACTAGACTGGCGACATTTGAGTCGTGTCTCATCCTTTGCTGCACCAACGGTGCAAATCTTTTTGGCAGTCCCTGAGAAGTTAATGATTATCATGAGTCAATTGTAAAAAACCACCACATTTGCGGCTAGGTTTGCAGGAAACACTGATCAGATGATTTGGGCTGTTTAATCACTTTCTTACAAGTGGAGCCAGATTCTAAGAAATTCACTTAGAAAAAAATAACACACACACCCCTAGATCTAAAAACCAAAAGCAATCAGCTCCTGACGATGTTGACCTCGTCCGCCCGCTCAGATCCGTCGCTGTTGACCTCGGTTGCGACGGGATCCACCGAGGGGAGGTGCTGCGGCCACGGCTCCTCCTCTGGCCGGGCTCCCCACCACCCTGACCATGCCCTCTGGCGAGGATGACGCCATGCTGGACCTGCTCCGGCCGCCGTGGATTTGTGGAACTCGTCCTCCGGCATCGTCCACTCGCCGACTCTACTCGCAGGGAGGGTGTCCCCTGGGGTGCGCATCGTCTCGCCCGGCGCGGGCACGGACGGGGAGGTCTCGTCGCCGCCCGGCGAGGCCCTGGCGCGGCGGGAGGCGGCAGGGTTGGAGAAGGAAGAGAGACAGCAGAGTTGGAGAGGGAGAGCGGGCGGCGGTGGTGCTCGATGCACTGGCGAACTGGCGGAAGCGAGCTACGGGGAAGCCCGGGCGGAGCGGCGCGAGGCTATGGCGCTGCCGATGCCGGCAGCCGGAGACGGACGGAGCCGCCGGTGCGCCAGCGAGAGAGAGAGACGGGGGATTTGACTGCGTTTTTCTTTTTTGAGCGAGGGGTGCCTATGTAAAGAGATTGGAGAAGAATCTTTTTTTTTGCCAAGTCAGTTCTGATGATTTGGTCCCATCTGTCATAAACACGCTTAAACGAGTCAAAGTGGATGATCAGTGCTTTTTGCAACGATTTAACAAATTTTCCGGTGTTTTTTACAACGGATTAACGAGTTGGTGGTTGCCTGCAAACCTAACCGCAAATGTGATGGTTTCTTGCAATTGACTCGATTATCATTTGTATTGCCTCGTCTTATACTGTTCTAAAAGTAGAAAGCTTGCAATGTGCCAGATTCTTACGTTGTACCGCAAAACTTGAAATGACACGATGAGTGGATTTGTGAGGGACTTGTGCTTTGTCTCCTGAAGGGAATAAAATTTTACATATATGTGCACTTATCACTGTATGTATGTTTTTGCTGGAACACTTGCATCTTTCAGGTTTTACACTTGCAAGCCAACAGGTAACCGACCAAAGTAGGTCAACACAAAACTTACTTATAATTGAACGAAGACAAGTGAAAATAAAAGACGGTCATACAGAGAAGCACTTCACGTCACAACATATAGTAATTAAGTAGACTGAATAAATTAGCAGACTAGATCAACTCCCAAACAAGGCTGAACAGACATAGAAGAACCTCCGTTCCAATGCTCACCTGAGCTGATCACTACACAGGAACACAAAGAACACTCATTCATGCCCTCTCCTCCGCGAGTTTCGCGAGGGCACGCCGCTCATTCCACAAGCTCGAAACAAGAGACCATGCAACAGCAACCTCCACCTTGCAGAAGCCAAGATCGCAAGTGCCATTGCTCGTGCCGGCCCTCTCCGGTGCGAACACGGCCTCGCCTCGCGCAACAACGACGGCAGCGCCACCACCATCATCGCCTTCTTCTTTCGCAGCGGTCTGAGGGGACGCCACCACGGAAACAACCAGCTTCCCCCCCTCGAGGTCCACCGACACGATACGCCTCGAGAGCTCGACCGCACCGGCCGAAGGGCTGATCGGCATCTTCCCTTCCCGGGAGTCGAGCAGCAGCACCTCTCCTTCCCTCACGGTTGTGACCTCGGCGACGACGCGCCCCCGGAGACCCTCTAGCCACACACCATCGATGATCCGGACACCGATAACGGTCGCCTCGACCGAGGGGTCCAGCGGCGCATAGGCAAGCTCGATCGTGCACCGGTCGCAGAGGATGCCCGAGCGGATCACATGTGTGGCAAGGTAGGTCTGGGGGTAGTTGAATATCCCGAAGGCCAGCATCTCGTCCTCTTTGGGGTCCATCTTGCTCTTCACCTTCAGCTGGAACTCGATCGTGATCGGGTCGATGATCACGATCGCGCGTGGCGGGCCTGTCAGCAGTAGGTATGGATCCTGCAATGCAAGCAACACATGCATGTCAACAAAATGGCTGGCAGACTATCATGTAACGAAGACGAGAACTATGGCGAATATATCAAATTCATGCTCCAACTCGATGAAGATGAAGAATCAGAGGAAATATATTTTAACATAAAACAAGACAACAAATGATGCATGGTGCTTGCCTGTTGGGTGAGGACCTGGCAGTTATCACTGGTGCGGTTGAAGAGGAAGTTGCGATTGTGATCCGAGGTGTCCCTGGCGGCGAGAAAGCCGTGGACATGCAGCGGCCACTGGAGGCGGTCTTCCAAGTCGGCCACCCGGATGCCGAAGATCTGGATGGTACAATGAGGCCTCGCGTAGCTCGGGATGGGTCCGAATGTAAACCGCATGGGACCAAGACTTGCTGCATGGCAGGAAGCAAAGCTATCATCAGCAAACAAGATACATCCATGCTAAATAAAGCTGGTTAGATAGGGTGTCTGATCTCTTTTTCAACATTAAAAAGAACATTGGACATAGTTAATGACATGGTCTTTGGAGGACTAACCCCTGAAATGACTGATCTATGGATGAGGTGCATTAGTGGCATCAGTAGAGCAAGTTCCCACGAACAAATGAATTTGCAGGTGAATGGATGAAAAATAGGCAGTGATGCAAGCGAAACAGGGGAGCTAGAGGTGATTACTCTGGTCGTCGAAGGAGCCAAATTTGCCGGTGAAGCGGCTCTCCCACAGCCCGCGGCACCTGGCGATCCGATCTTCCTCCCTGTAAACCTCCTCCTCCTCCTCCTCTTCCTCCTGCGTCGTCGTCTCCGGCGCCGCCGGCGGCAGCGGACATGGACATGGAGGAGGTGTGCTGTTAATATACTCATCATGGTTCTCCCTCCTCACATCCTTCATCTTCTCCTCCCTCTGCTCTCTGGTGGCACTGGCATCCTCGGCCTCGGCCTCGTCCTCGCCCTCGCCCTCGCCCCCCTGGAGGATGGATATGTCCATCCCCGCCAGTCCGCTGCTGATCAGCTCCTCCATCGCCCGGGATCGAGGAATCAAACAATCGATCTATCGCCTCCTTCCTCTGCCGCTTAACTCTGTAATTCGAGCGTCTTCGTTCTAAAAAAAACTCTGTAATTAGGTTTAGATATTTTTTTTGACAGTTGGATCAAACGTAGAAAACACGTACGTGGTCACCAACCAAAGCAAAAGCGGCTAAAGGAATCTCTGCATGGAAACAGCGGGGGTACCAAACCTTTCTTTCGCTGAACCATGGACCATTGGACCTCCCTCCGCTTCCGGTGGCGACCGCCGGCTGCTGTTACGGCAGCTCGATTCCCCTCTCGGAAACGCGACCCGCGAACGCCGGATCTCACAAACATTGCTGCATCTCACCAGTAAGAAACATATGTGCAGTATACATAGACCTCGTGCTTTTTGTTTTTTGAGAATATACATACACCTCTTGCTGATAAATAATTACAAGATCCAGTGATGGTTCCTCTCCGTTGAGATGTCAACTAGGACTTTTACTAACACCTAGTCCCCTATATTTTACCTGATTCGATCTTGTACTCTTCGTGATGTTTCGTCTAATTCAGGTTGGTATCAAATTTGGAATGGATTCTTGGGAGGAGGAGAAAATCGATGATGGAACACTTCTCAACTTCGACGTACAGGGCCAAGGGGAAGAAAGAGTACTCCAAAAAAGAAACCCCATGGCTTCAGAAACGAATATAACATTGATTTGGCATTGTGAATGTTGATACTTTTTATAATAAGTTTGGTCAAAGCAGAGATACTTTGACTTCAGACCAAACTTATATGCAACTCTTTCTTACCTCTTGAACTAGAATATAAGGCATATTAGGCTATTAAAGAGATCAACTATGATTTTAAACTTGCCGATGAAAAGAGGTTATTTGATATTAGTTCACTTCATGAATGGAGAACCCAAGCTTATGAAAATGCCAAGTTGTTTAAAGAGAAAGTTAAAAGATGGCATGACAAAAGGATACAAAAGCGTGAGTTTAATGTAGGTGATTATGTATTGCTATACAACTCTCGTTTAAGATTTTTTGCAGGAAAACTTCTCTCTAAATGGGAAGGCCCCTATGTTATCGAAGAGGTCTATCGTTCTGGTGCCATAAAGATCAACAACTTCGAGGGCACAAATCCGAAAGTGGTAAACGGTTAAAGAATCAAACATTATATCTCAGGTAATCCCATAAATGTTGAAATCAATGTTATTAAAAACGTAACCCCGGAGGAATACATAAGGGACACTTTTCGGAATGTTTCAGACTCCGAAAAGGAATAGGTATGTGGTACGGTAAGTAAACCGACTCCAAAACAGTTTTTAAGGCAATATTTCTCCGTTTTGGAATATTTAGAAAAATAGAAAAATAAGAACTAGTCTGAGAAGGACACGAGGCCTCCACGAGGGTGGAGGGCGCGCCCTACCCTACTGGGCGCCCCCTACCTCGTGGGCACCTCGTGTGCTCTCCGGACTCCGTTTTCTTACACGACACATATTTTGGTCGGTAAAAATTCATTATATAATCTCCCGGGGGTTTTGACTCCCGTATCACGCAAAAATCTCCTGTCTTTGTTTCGAGCTGTTTTCTGTCAGGGTTGTCAAGCCAGGCACTATGTCATCTCCCTCCTCCTCCAACCATGAGGGCAACGATGCTTGGCTAATGAAGATAGAGCTGAAGAGAGAAGAACCCATGGAGATCAACAAGGAGGAAGGGATCAAGAAGGCCATGGAGGACCAAGTTCTGGCAACAGAAGACATCCTTCAACTTGATCACAATCTTTTTACCCCAACTGAGATTGAAGCTTTCAAGATGATTGAGTTAGCTCGTATACAAAATAAGTATCTCACACGTGAAAATATTTTGTTGAAGGAGCATATCATCGCACTCAAAGGCATTATCCACAAGTTAGAAGACCTCCTACGCTCGATGTGTGACTATCCATCATCAACAACTCCACCTTCTTCACCAACAAAGAAGAGATGAGCATCGGGTATGGGCACTCCCCTTGGCAACTGCCAAGCTTGGGGGAGTGCCCCGGTATCGTATCACCATCACTTTTATCTTTACCGTTTTTCTTAGTTCGATCCTTTTGGTAATATCTTGATCTAGTAGAATAAAAGTTCTTAGTATGATCCAGTTGTGAGTTTTGCTTTATGATCCTTCTATATAATCGAGTCCGTGAGCTATATAATAAAGATTAGTGTTGAGTCAAGGGCTTGATTATTTTGCCATGATCCTAAGTGAATAAAAGAAAAGAGAAATAAATAAAAAAGGAAACAAAGAGATCATAAGGATCTTATGGAGAGTAATGAGCTCACATAGAAAGAGTATGATGAATAAAAGTTGTTAAGAGTTGACAAACATAGTTTTGGTCATCGTTGCAATTAATAGGAAGTAATAAAGAAAGAGAGGTCTTCACATATAAATATAATATCTTGGACATCTTTTATGATTGTGAGCACTCATTAAAATATGACATGCTAAAGAGTTTACGTTGGACAAGGAAGACAACGTAATGGGTTACGTTTTCTTACATCTGAGATAAATTATATTGTCATGGATCATCCAACATGGTTGAGCTTGCCTTTCCCTCTCATGCTAGCCAAATTCATCGCACCAAGTAGAGATACTACTTGTGCTTCCAAATACCCTTAAACCAGTTTTGCCATGAGTCCACCATACCTACCTATGGATTGAGTAAGATCCTCCAAGTAAGTTGTCATCGGTGCAAGCAATAAAAATTGCTCTCTAAATATGTATGACTTATTAGTGTGGGAGAAAATAAGCTTTATACGATCGTGTGATATGGAAGAAATAAAAGCGACAGATTGCATAATAAAGGTCCATATCACAAGTGGCAATATAAAGTGACGTTCTTTCGCATTAAGATTTTGTGCATCCAACCATAAAAGCGCATGACAACCTCTGCTTCCCTTTGCGAAGGGCCTATCTTTCACTTTTATCTCCTACCTTGCATAAGAGTCATGGTGATATTCACCCTTCCTTTTTACATTTTATCCTTTGGCAAGCATAGTATGTTGGAAATATCCTGGTATATATGGCTAATTGGATGTGAGTTTTCATGAACTATTATTGTTGACATTACCCTTGAGGTAAAACATTGGGAGGCAAAACTATAAGCCCCTATCTTTCTCTGTGTCCGATTAAAACTCCATACCCATAAGTATTGCGTGAGTGTCAGTAATTGTGAAAGACTATATGATAGTTGAGTATGTGGACTTGCTGAAAATCTCTTATATATTGACTCTTTCCTATGTTATGATAAATTGAAATTGCTCCAATGACTGAGATTATAGTTTGTTAGTTTTCAATGAAGTTTACAATTCATACTTGAAATTGTGATTGAATTATTACTCTAGCATAAGAAATCATATGACAAGAATTATGTAAGTTGTTGTTCTAAAAATGATCATGATGCCCTCATGTCCGTATTTTACTTTTATCGACACCTCTATCTCTAAACATGTGGACATATTTTTCAATTTCGGCTTTCGCTTGAGGACAAGCGAGGCTTAAGCTTGGGGGAGTTGACACGTCCATTTTGCATCATGCCTTTATATCGATATTTATTGCTTTATGGGCTGTTATTACACATTATGTCACAATACTTATGCCTATTCTCTATTATTTTACAAGGTTTACATAAAGAGAGAGAATGTCGGCATCTGGGATTCTGGGATGGAAAAGGAGCAAATATTAGAGACCTATTCTGCACAGCTCCAAAAGTCCTGAAACTTCACGGAAGACGTTTCCGGAATATATAAAAAATACTGAGAGCAAGAAGTTTACCAGGGGGGGCCACACCCTGCCCATGCGGGTGGGGGCGCGCCCTACCCCCTTGGGCGCGCTCCCCTACCTAGTGGGTCCCCTGGTGGCCCTCCGATGGCCATCTTCTGCTATAAGAAGTCTTTAGATGAGGAAAAAAATCATAAGCCATCTTCTCGGACGAAATTCCGCCGCCATGAGGCGGAACCAATCTAGGGCTCTGGCGGAGCTGTTCTGCCGGGGAAACTTCCCTCCGGGAGGGGGAAATCATCGCCATCGTCATCAGCAACGCTCCTCTCATCGGGAGAGGGAAATCTCCATCAACATCTTCACCAGCACCATCTCCTCTCAAAACCCTAGTTCATCTTTTGTATCCAATTCTTGTCTCCAAGTCCGGGATTGGTACTAGTAGGTTGCTGGTAGTGTTAATTACTCTTTGTAGTTGACGCTAGTTGGTTTAATTGGTGGAAGATCATATGTTCAGATCCTATATGCATATTAATACCCCTCTGATTATGAACATGATTATGCTTTGTGAGTAGTTACGTTTTTTTCCTAAGGACATGGGAGAAGTCTTGATATTAGTAGTCATGTGAATTTGGTATTCGTTCGATATTTTGATGAGATGTATGTTGTCCCTCCTCTAGTGGTGTTATGTGAACGTCGACTACATAACACTTCACCATTATTTGGGCCTAGAGGAAGGCATTGGGAAGTAATAAGTAGATGATGGGTTGCTAGAGTGACAGAAGCTTAAACCCTAGTTTATGTGTTGCTTCGTAAGGGGCTGATTTGGATCCATATTTTCATGCTATGGTTAGGTTTACCTTAATACTTTTGTTGTAGTTGCGGATGCTTGCAATAAAGGTTAATCATAAGTGGGATGCTTGTCCAAGTAAGGACAGTACCCAAGCACCGGTCCACCTACATACCAAATTATCAAAGTACCGAACGCGAATCATATGATCGTGATGAAACCTAGCTTGACGATATTCCCATGAGTCCTCGGGAGCGCTTTTCTCTATATAAGAGTTTGTACAGGCTTGTCCTTTGCTACAAAAGGGATTGTGCCACCTTGTTGCACTTTATTTACTTTTGTTACTTGTTGATCGTTACAAATTATCCTATCACAAAATTATCTGTTACCACTTATTTCAGTACTTGCAGAGAATACCTTGCTGGAAACCGCTTATCATTTCCTTCTGCTCCTCG